CGGCCGGCGGCGGGCGGGTCCCGGGCGCGGCGCGGCGGCACTGCGCGAACCCAGGCTGGGAGCCGGGGCTCCGCTCACCCCCCCGCAAGGGTAACGTGAGGGCGCTGCAGCCCTCGGCTGATCCCGCTGGGACCTCAACCCTCCCAGCGGAGAGCAACTCGCGGGCCAGGGTCTGCCGTGCCCTGCCTGCTCCGACCCGGCCCGGCTGTCTCATCCTGCAGCAGAAAGAGAAGAGGCAAATCCCTGTCTCTCACTTCAGGTTCCGCATGGTTTCGTACTGGAAAACAAATTAACCTGAGCGGGTTTTCTGAATTTGAGCCAAGAACAAAAGGCAAAGTGCCCGAGTATTGAAAATGTGCCTGCACCCCAAACCAGCAAACCCTTTTCTGAATGTCTCACTTGAACCATTCATCAGCACTAAAAGGACATAGAGAAAAGGGTCGTTTTCCTCTGAGTTAACAGAAAATATTATCTAAGACCTATTTTCAGTAAAATATGCATTGTGCATTCTCCTCAAAACAATATTTCTGCACATAAAATTACACCAGAAAACTGAGCACCCGTGCAAGCTGTGGATCCCATTGGCAATTCAGATAGGACTCTCCTTTGGGTTAATGAAGGTTAGAGCTCCATTTGTCTCAGACATACATCTCCATCGACATCAGCCATTTCATTTTTGGCTGAGACTCTTTCATACTGTTGCAAAATGATCTGCCCAACACCTAAATAAACCCAGCTCCCATTGCACTGGTTCAGCACTTCAGGTTGGTTCTGGAGGAGGAAGCAGCTGCCTTTGGAACTGAGCAGATACCTGGGGATCTAACAGCCTCCCATTACACTACAAATACTTGTTACACTTATTTTCAGGCCAGAGTTTTTCCACCAAAGACAGAGATTTTTCAGTTTCTGTTCAAAAGCAGGACCCCCCCAGATCCCAGTTTTCTCTGATACATATTTAAAATATACTCACAGCAGGCCAGAAGAAACACTGAAAAGAAATGCTGCTGCTACTGAGAGAGGGAACTTCTAACACTGAAGGAAAAGTTTACCTAAAGGACTGGATTTCTCTTCCTCCTACAGAGTCCAACACTGACATTTGGTAACTTTCATGCCTTTGTGCAGAACAAAGCAAAGAATCGTGCAGAGCAGATTAAGAATGAAGAAGGGCTGAGAAACCTGAGTAGGAAAATATCCCTGTCACACAAACCACTCTCATGTCATGCACACATAAAGGATAAACTTTTCAGATACAACCACCTGATCTTCCTGCACAAAGCATTGTCCAGACTGTAGAATCTACCTGTCCTCCCCTAGCATCTAATACTTGTCCTGCCTTCCACCACCCCAGAGTTTTCTCCTGTGCTCCAACCTTTGACTCAAATGAGGAATGCTGCTATACTTCTTAAAAGACTCTTTTGCAGGGCTCAGAGCTGCTGTGCAGTCCCAGCAGCACAGCAGGAACTGAATTGCCAGCAGAGGGGGAGAGTTAGAGAGACACTGTGATTTGATCTAACATCCACTGAACTCACTGGAAGGATTCTCACTGACCATGTCAATAAAAAGAAGGAAAAACCTCCCACTGAAGATGTTTGTATAGTATTTTCTCCAGTTCACGTTTTGTAGGTGCTATCCAGAACACCAGTTTTCCTTGCTCTTTAAAAGAGTGTTCATCGCTGTTTCTGTGCAATAAGAAAAAGCTCTGTGAAATGCCAGGCCCCATATGGCCTTAGAAATAATGATTAAGATGAAAAAACCACCCTCCTTGACCAGAATGAAAAGGCTCTAAGCAGCTTTAAGCAGAGAATGCCGTATGCCAACCCCTCATGCCCCTAATAAACCTGCAGTCGATCGTGCGCTCTAAGTCGTTAAGCACATTGTAGAAATGGGGCAAATCCTCTTTTGGAATTTACGGGCTTAAAAAAAAAAAAAAGAAAAGCAACATAATTCCATTTATTTTAACATCATTACATTTTGAAAAAGAAACCCCGATTATATCATGGGATAATGTTACTGTTATTTCTATGCTTACTGCTGCATTTTAACACTTGACACTGCACACTGCTGCAGCCAGTGAGGCTTTTTACTGTGGAGTTACACAGGAGATGAGAAGCACATTCAGAGCTGGTGTGAGGCACAAAAAGCAGTCACTGCTTTGTACTTTTTTACCCCCCAAAAGTCTAATCTATTTTTTGTTTGAACAATGCCACTGAGCGTGGATGGGGCAGTGGTGCTGGAAAATGGTGGTTTTCTGCTTTCTGTTTGTATGCCTCTGAAGCAGTATAAGGTGGTACCTCCCTTACCCTAGCCTATCATCCTATCCTACCCTATCCTATCCTATCCTTCAGTATCACTAGAATGCTTTGGAAGTGGCTTCTAGCATTGCACTAAAAAAAATCCCCAACAAAACAACCAAGCAAACCCCCCAAACTAACCCAACCAACCAATGACCCAAACTCCTACAAGGCTCAAGTCCTTTCAGGCTGAGATTCTTGCTGCTCTATCACAGCAACAGAATCAAAAGTGAACTCAGGCACAAGAAGCTTGCTTGCTTTTAACAGAGGCAATATAGAATTTAGCCACTTCTCATTTCCCACCTTCTCATCTGGAAAAGCAGGTAAGTTCCTTATCCACTTTTTCATTAACCACTTCAGCTGAGCAGCTCTATTGGCCTAAGCAATTAGCCAAGAGAAAGCGATAAAGAGCTCCCCTGTTTCCTTTCTGATGTGTTTGCTTTCACCAACAGCCATAGTGTCCTTTAGTCCTATGAGATTTCCAGTTCTCACTGGCCCATTGGCTCCTTGGCTCTTTGTCAAGCCCTTCATCTTCAAAGCACTCTACCCTCTTTTGATGCCAGCGTCTGTATTTGCATTTCATAGCACCCAGAACAAGCCAGGCAAATACGTTTAAAGTCCAACATATGCTTTGTAGAATTGCCAGATTGGGAAAAAAATGCTCAGGAAACAGAAATCCAGGGACCCTTAACAAACATTAAACTGACAAAAGAGAAGGCAAATTCATCCTCTGCTGACCTAGGTCACCTATGAGCAGACACAGTGTTCTTTATCAACTTGCCAATTCTCCCATTCTCCTAGAGAACAGGTTTGTGTTTTCTTTGCTCGGTTATCTCTTCATCTTTGAGCAAATTGCTAAAATCTGAATTTGGCCATTACAGAAACAGGCTCACAACCAACTTCCCACTTACTTCATAGCCAAGGTGTCAGTCTCCTGAAATTCATGCCACTCCTCTTTTACCTTTTCCATCTTATGATTCAGATTCCCGTAGTCACTTGGGCCTGTGTTCTGACATTCTTCCAATACATACCACCAATACCCTCATTCATTTCAGTAATCTCCAGTGGGAGTGAAATGACAAATGTAGGTGTTAGTGATAGACGGTTTGGAAATACCCAGTAGCCACATCATCATCATCCCTCGCTTAGGGTGCCAATGAGCTTTAGAGCTAAATAAACAGCTGGATTATATCAAAACACGGAATAGCAGAGTCATTTTTCCTAATCTAATCAACTTACAAGAATCAGAGATGTGTGAACTGCTCCAAAATACCTATTTATAGTTCCTTTTCAGGAACTATGAAGATGGTGCGTTTTCACAGCGCTTAGTGATCATGCCACGTTCATATTTCATAATGTGTCTGCAAGCCTTTGCTCACAGATTCCTAAGCATTTGCAGGGCAAACAGTCCGATTGCCAATACAGCTCTAGGATAATGTAAAGGAACTGTTTTACTCTGAAGGCAGCACATACCATATTGCAAATGCTGATGTAATATAAATCAAAACACAAACAGTGTAGCTGCAGTGCCTGTAGAAATCTTCTTGCCAATGGCAGTCAATATTGGACATGCTCATCCTCAGAGGGCAGCACAGCCATGGAAGTACAGAGAGGAGATGGCACTGAGGTCTTCCCAAAGAACATGCTGGAGCTGAGTCATTGTCTGCTTAGATGGACATCACACCTGACTTATAGGATCTACTTATGAAGTAAAATGCTATTGTGAGCAGCTGGAAACAGGGAAAATTTGGTTCTTCTTTTACTTGCTCGTAAATCTCATTTCTATTAAAATATTGTTTCGAAACCCAAGTAATATATATAATATTTATATAATATGCACCACAACGAACAGCTGCTTTTCGAATGTCTGTAAGTACTTGTTTTATCTTCCATTCTAGATCTTCACCCAAATTGCCTTTGATGCATTGCTTTAGCTAAAGTTTAATTATATTGTTTTCCATGTAAATTTATGTCACAGCAAATACAAAAAATATTTGAGTAAGTGAATCCTTCTCCCTGCAAGTCAATTTTGAGCCATCACAAAGCACACACAGATATTTAACGTTATATTAAAACAAGTATTCACACTGTATTGGCATAGTAACGGGAACAGTGGTCAGACAAGTGTCCTCGTTATTTTGTACTGTGCTGAGAGGTGCCTGCCTCAGCACAAAGCTTTCTTCTAGAACTCACAGCTTACCTAAGAGCAGAAAAAACAATCAAGGGTGAAGGCTGAATGCAAAACAAACGGCACAGCTGGTTTGTGTGAGCTTCATGAAAGGACTGATGTAAATTCAGATCTTCATAGTGCAGTCACGCCTCTCCACAGGGAGAAGAAGAGGCAGACCTTTACAGACTTGAGCAGGACAGAAAACAATCAGAAGGAAAACAATAGTTACAAAGTTAAAGCTATTGGTGTTAGGGAAAAAGGAGTGGAAACCAGTGTATGTGTGTGTGTTTGTGCGTGTGCATCGGTATGTGAATGAAGAAATTCACCGTGCACACTCTTACACTAAGTACAGAGATACTTTTTCAGTTTGCATCAAATTAGGATGAAATCAGCTGGATGTATCTAGTGATTTAGTTTTAAGAAGACACAATTAAACAATGCTTGCTATTGACAGGTTGTTCTGCCCTAACAGAAATGCAGAGCGCAGAAACGTGCAACTGCTTTCCCATGTATAGGTATTAAAACAATACAAAAGGTACTTTACCTTTGCTCATGCCTCCATGAGGAAGTTATTTCAAGGGTCCTTTGTTTCTTGTGTGCCAGCAGCTGTGCAACTGTAAAGAAAAACAGGAGTTGGGTTAATAATAAAGAAAGGTACAAGCTGTCGACTCCAAAGACTCAAGTTAAACATTTACTACAGTTTGTTCTTGTGAGCAAACTCAGAGGGTCTGCTTTGCTCACTGCTGGCATCTTGAGAAACGGGTGACAGCCAATGTGCTGCTCACACATGCACCTCCCTGTCCGCAGCTCAGATACCCGCAGCAGAAAGCTGAACTCACCTGTGCACATGTAGGCTGGGATTTAAAAAACAAGCAGCAGGAAATTCTCCCGTGTAAGAAAAGCCCTTCACAATGGCACTTCAAATATTTACACATGGGATTAGAATCGGAATTGCCCACAGTTTTAGAATAAACAGGTTCAAGTTTATCCTTATATTCTATTTTATTTACTCAGAGGGTTTTTTTTTCCCCTACAGAAGGTCTTTTGTTTCTGCATTAGCATGAGGCTAAGGTAAAGACTTCAAGCCTACACAGAAGTGCAGCCTCCTTTTCTATCGAGCCACAGAGCAGGCAGCATTACGTGTCAGCTCCTGCTGGGCAGATACCTGGGAAAGGTGAGGGTGGAGTGCAGCCTCTGGCCCTGCTCAGAAGCTCAGGACCTTCCAGAAAGTGTACTAGCTACTGCCTGTCACTTTTCTCAGCAGTATGTTCAGGCTGTTCATTTAGGCACTTGAAGATTAATCAAGCACTTAAAGATGAAGTTGGGCCATCTGAATATGCTTTTGTACCATGGAAGGTCATCTCTGCACAGAGACCCGACACATTTCTGAACCTCATCTATGAAATGAACCCGTGACAGAAAGCCAAACCAAAAGCAAACCACTGGGACTACACAGAGGAATGAGTTGGTGAGAGGTGGCGTGAGGTTTCTCCAGCTCACACACCCAGCCATCAACAGGAGTCAGTTATGCAAACTCACGTTAATCTTGGGGTTGCTGCATCAATCATTATCTTGTGTGTGGAGACAAGGTGGCAGCCTTGTTTCTTTTAATGACAGCTCTGTTCTCCAGAAGTGAACTCCAGTGGCTGAGGTACCAGGCTATGACTCAGGAGAGATAATTCCCAGCTCAGCTGCTAAGCAGCTATAAACTTAGGGCAAAATGCCCTTTGTCTGTCTGGACTATTTAGACTACGGGCCCTTTGAGGTAAGACCAGTCTCTGACTGGATATTTGCACAGCACCTAATACAATGGAAATCCAGCCTCAGTTTAGTAGTTCTGTAATACAAATTAATAACAATAACTAGACTTGACTGCTTGACAAAAAGCAAATAGTTTGGAAAAAGCTGTCTTAAATCTTTCTATCCCACTTACCCAGACCAAAAAAATCTACAAATGTTATTTCTTTTGGCAGCTGAAACCTAATCCTACCTTGGTTAGCATAACAGAGAGAACAGGAAGCACTGTGAAGGAATGTTTCATTCCCTAGGACGTCTTTGATCCCCCTTCCCTCCCTTTTCCTATCAGGTAATTTTCAAATCTTGATGTTTCCAGTTAGTCTACGTATCTTCTTGTTTTGTCTACTTCGGTCAAGACTTATTTAACTTCCATTTCATGGATGAAAAACTGGTCTGCATTTAGACTTTGCTGTTGCGTAAGGCGGAACCTGAGAACTTCAGAATCCCAAAAGGGAATACAGCTAAAATTCACAGCCCTTGCTGGTGGAAACCCAATCATTGCTGTGCTTTAACACAGGCAAGGTGCATTCATACATTACATAAATGCTAAACAAATCATTTAATCATTTTCTGGTGCAGCCACCACTTTTTGTCACTCAGAGTTAGTGTCTCTGTTCAACTTCCCAACATATGGAGGACATTTTTTCACCATTATACATCTTGATTTATGCTCGTCTCAAATGTGCAAAGCTCAAAACAAATTTATGTCTGTTTAATATTCTGGGTTCTGAAGGAATGTGTTGACCCTTATTTCAGTCCCACATGGAATGCAAGGCTGCATCTCATGTGGGCAAGCTTTTGACAATAAAACAAGTAATAATTAAAATATGCATGACCCTCAAAGGACTTAATTACCACACACTGCAGAGTGCAGCCTCATGCTTGTAGCAAAGACAAGTCTGTAGCACTACAAAGCAGGAGATGACAACACACGCAAGATAAAAATGAAACAAGATCATCTTGGAGGAGATAACACAACAGCCCTTTTGCCTGCAGATGAATGGTCCTGTCACACAAGCTGGAGCTCCAGCAGCATGTGCAGAGCACACCACTTGGAACTGAAGCAGCTGCATATGTACCGGCTTTTTTGCCTCGGCTCTTCTTGCTTTGAACCAATCACCGTTTGCTCTGCCTGATGATTGCAGCAAGCTGCATTTCTCTTTAGCCTTGATCTCTTCAGATGGCTCTTCTTTTCCTACTTACTATCCATCTTCTTCCTTCCACTTCCCTCTGGCATCATCTGCACCTTCAAGTCAGCAGTCAAAAGTTCCTTAAAAGGCAATAGAGGTAAAGGCAATAGCTGCTGTAGAAATGACTCTGGCTGATCAAGTATTTCCATGCCTCTCTTGCAGCTGCTCCTGGTCAAACACACTCAACGGTGGCAGTGATGGGGTTAGCTACAGCAATGACAAAGCATTATGCATCTGATGGAAGATGTTACCTGCCATCTGCTTTTAGGGAGGCTCAAAATATATCTGTTCCCTAGGAGTGACTGAGCTTTTGATAACAAAATACCTTACAATCCTACAACTCCACGAATCCCATCCTGCAGTAAGAATACTTAGTCCCATTTTATGAATAGGAAACTGGGGTGCAGAGACAACAAATGACTTCACCAATTCCTTGATTTGCAAAGCTGTCTACAACTGGAAGCCACTGAAACAGGTACCAACTTATTTACGTGATTATTACTACTGACTGCAGCACTGTTAAGCCTGAAAGATGCCAAGAGAACTGAAGTTAGTCTTTCATGTCTCTTCTCCTCCCTTTTGTTTTCCTTCACTACCCAGAGATGGCCAACATTGCTCTTTCCTTCCCTTCTCTGAGAAAAGTTACAATAACAGCTACAAAAAGTGACTGGCAGGCAAATAATTTCCCTCTTCTTTAGGGCTTCAACTTGTGAAAATCCAGGAACACTTTTATTATTATTCCATTACAACAACCTGAACGTGGAGGTAGATTCTAAGCTGTTATTGACTTCACTGTTCCTGAAACAAAGACACTGCTCAGAGCTCATTTACAAAATGTATATACCACTGTTCTGCACTCTTGCTTCCAGCTATTTGAAACTCTCCAGTTCCTCGGAGCAAACAGCTGGGGAATGAGTTAGGGACTCAATGGCACTGTTGGGGCTCAGTGACACTATGCTTTTCTTTCCCATTTTCCCCCTTTTAAAACAGAACTCTTTTCAGCAGAGTAAGACAGGCAAACAAAGTGTGTACAGAATGAAGACAGCACAAAGGCTGTCAATGCCACCAGCCTGATGATGCTTGTTTGTCACCGCCTGCAAGTCCAGATGCTGTGGAGATGCACAGCCTAAATAGGAGCTTGTGCCTCCAGCATCAATGTGGACTATGCACTAACCTTTAAGTGTGCGCAATGGGCTGTCCCTGACCCACCCTTTTTTCAAGCCCTTCTGGATGGTGGTTGCTAAAAGGACTTACACAGGCTGGAGCTGCTCTTAACTCTACATGGGTGACTCTGCCTCATCAACCTGCGCAAAGAGCCAAGGACACGTCAGGTTCCTTCCTCCTTATCCAGCAGAATGGCAGAAGAAGAAATTATAGACTGGGCCTTCCATTATTGCAGGATGTAACAAGAGAAAGACGGACTTATCTCAACGCAAACAGAGGAAATTAAATGGGAGATGCCTGCCCTCCTTTTTTAATTCATACGAAAGAGTTCATTTGCAACCACCTTAGAAACATTTGCCCCCATCCTCAAACACAGACCTTTCCCTGGACTTGCAAGGCTGTGAAAGAAAGGGAGATCAGAAAGAAGATGTAGCAATTCTTTACTATTCATAAGGGAATTAATAAGCCTGCAAAATATAATCACTTACTTCCTTCTCTTTGCAGCATTTCCGATGCACAGTGTCCTGCAGGTCACAGTGTTTCACAGGGGCTTCTGGGCCAGTATTCCTCTCCCCTCAACTGTTAGGTGTCTGAAGAGGACATCTGGGTGCTCTTGAAGGGGCAGCACTGGCACCTGCTGCGATGGGAGCCCTACCAGGCACAACAAAGCCCAATAAATAAAACACCAGAAGGCGAAAGGTAATTGTTCTCAGTGAATGCTTTCTGAAAGGGTAACCCAGCTCCCTGAAGGCTGCTAAGCCCTTGAACAGCTTTGCTGTGGGCACAGCTTTGCCAGTGGATGCTTTTCCACGTGGGTGCCCCTCAGGACAGGCCCAGACCCACCGATCCCCCTCTGGGTCCACCGGATGGGGTCAGTTATTTAGTGTTTTAGACCCTTTTGTTCTCTACCTCGACCATACCCATCCCAACGTGTCCCTCTCACTTACCCCTCAGCACACAGGCTCCTTATCTCTCCTCACCGCTGAACCCCCCCTGGGCCTCCGCGGGGCTGCGAGGACCCCACCGCGATCCTTCCGCGCCGCAAGCCCGGAGCCCGCGTGTAACCATGGCAACACCCGCCGCGCCGCGCTCACGTGACAGGCGGCTATAAATGGCGGCTCCGGCGGCACGGGGTCTGTCAGTGCGGGAGCAGCGAGGAGAAAGGGAAGCCGTGACAGTGCTGAGGCCACGGGGATGGAACCTCGGAGCAGCCCGTGTGTGAGGTAGAGCAGCCCGTGTGTGAGGTAGAGCAGCCCGTGTGTGAGGTAGAGCAGCCCGTGTGTGAGGTAGAGCAGCCCGTGTGTGAGGTAGAGCAGCCCGTGTGTGAGGTAGAGCAGCCCGTGTGTGAGGTAGAGCAGCCCGTGTGTGAGGTAGAGCAGCCCGATGCGGCTTCAAAGCAAGGCCTGAGGCAGCAGCCGGGAGCCACCTGGGTGCCTCTGTTAGTGAGAGGGCCACAGGGCCGC